AAGTACAGTGCCTGGCAGGGCTGGTGTTGGGCAGTTTGTACCAAAGTAAACACGACCTGTAACTACTCCAAGTTCTTAGATGTGGTAAATTAGCCTGGGAAAGGAAAAAAATCTTTTCTCTTTGTTTGAATCAGTAATAAGGAATCAAGATGTGGCTCAAGCAGTAGAGCACCTGCTTTGGAAGCTCAAAACCCTGAGTTCAAACCCCAGTTCCACAAAATAAACAACCCCACCATCAGAAGAACAACAAAAAACCCTATTGAATTGGTAGTAAAATTATTTGGCCATCAACCTATCTGAGTTCTTCTAAGATCAACAAAATTACACCAGAGTACAGCTTTGTGAGCATTGGTGAGTGAGGGCCACAGAAGGGAGCCAAGCTGACCTTGATCCAGGTTCTCCTATCCTTGGTTCATGACTTTCAGTACTCATCCCACAACAGCCACACCCTGGACTCTATGCTTCCTCCATTCTGTTGTCCACTGGTGCCTCCTCCTGCCTGGTTGGCCATGGCTTGTGGCAGGCATTCTCTCTCCTGTTAGCCTCTGAGGCCAGCCCCACTCATTCACATCACTTGGGGGTTTTCCAAGCCCTTCTTTGCTTCTCTTAGTTCATCTCACCACATTTTAGTTGTGGTGAGTACCTTCTTTGTCCAGATTTAGCACAGTTCTGAGAACCTGGGGGTGGAGGTCTACAGTGCCAGTGCAGGAGGCCTATCCTTCCATCTTTCTTTCTTTTTTCATTAATTTACTTATATTTATTTTTTTGCAGTTCTGAGGATCAAACCTAGGGCCTTGTGCATGCTAGGCATGCGTGAGCTACACCTGCAGTCTTCTCTTGTCTTTCCTGAGGTAGGCTCATTTCCTCAGCCCAGGGTTGGTTCCTTCAGGTTCTGACATTTAGCATGGGGGCATGGTGTGGCACCACATCTTTCTAACAGCCTTGGCTCTGATGTCAGAAGACTGGGGTGTCTTTAGGGCCTTAAACTTAAAGTCAGTCATTACAGCTTGTCCTAATCCACACACTTAGCCCATTTTTGTTGTACCTCAACAGAGAGAGCATGGGGTGGAAGAATGGAGTGGGAGTGCACAGGATACACAGGCAGTAGTGTGAGACACCTTTCCACCTTAACTCGTGGGGTTTTTTCAATGGTTGGCTTTTCAGAATGGAGAACCTCTGGGATTCCTCTTGGTAAATGAGTTGGTTATTAGGAGGAAAGGGAAAAAAACCCACAAAAATCCAAAACGTTTTAAAAAGATTTTGAGGGTGGGAGCCATTGGGAGTGGGGTTGCCTCGGCTAAAGCTCTTCCTGGATTTGGAGTGTTCTCAGAAATGAATAGTGTTCCAGGCTAGACCATGATGCTCTGAAGCTCAGGTGAGCAGAAAGGTTTCCTATTATTTTTATCTGGTGGATTTGGGGATTGAATTCAGGGCCTTAGCCTTGCTAGAAAGACTCTCTACCAGTTGAGCCATGCTCCCAACCCTTTTCCCTTTAGTTATATTTGAGATAGGGTCTCACTTTATGCCCAGGGTAGCCTGGACCACGATTCTCTTATTTACACTTCTCTGATAGCTGGATGACAGGTGCACACAACCACACACAGCTTTTTTTGATTGAGATGAGTTCTTGAGAACTTTTTGCCCAAGCTGGTCTTGAACTGTGATCATCCAGATCTCCACCTCCTGATTACCTAGGATTACAGTCTTAAGCCACCATGCCTAGCTGAGAGGGTTCCTCTTACAGAGCTGGTTCTGTGGCTCAAGTGGTTAATCACTTGCCTGCTAGCACAAGATTGAGTTCAAACCCCATTATTACCAAAATAAATAAATAAAAATAAATAAATAAATAAATACCACATGCACATGCGCGCGGCAACAATAACAACAAAAACCCCAGCGTCACTCCGGGAAGGTGGGTATTTGGACTGTAGGAATGTTGCTACTGAAATGGAAGAATGATGGGTTGGAAAGTTCTATATCAGTTTTGGGTTCCTGGGAGTCCCCTTGGGCCTAATAGGGAAGTGGCTTGAATAGAAAAAACCCACAACTTTGTGCTGTAATTTTATGCCTGGAGGGGAAACTAAATTTCCAAGCACAGTTTTTTTTTGTTTGTGTGTGTGTGTGTGTGTGTGTGGGTCTGGGGTTTGAACTTGGGACTTCGTACTTGCAAAGCAGACACTCTACCACTTGAGCCACTCCTCCAGTCTATTTTGCCATGATTATTTGGAGATGGGGTCATGCGAACTATTTGCCCATGCTCACCTAGAATCACTATCCAATCTCAACCAAATGCTGTATTACAGTGTTAAACCACTGGAGCCTGGCTCCTGCTCAGGTTTTATTGAAGTTTAAGAGGCTCAGAGTGTCAAGTCCCCTTGTAGGACCCAGCCCACAGGAGTGATGACATGAAAGTTGAGAATGAATTTAGACATGTCTCCATAATCGCTCTGTACATGCCTAAAAATATCCCACAGGAGAGAAAATTTCAAAGTGTAATGAGATCAGAATGACATTGCAGTGGGTAAAAAGCAACTCTTGGTCCAAGTAGCCCATCTTAACTTGATTAGACCACAACAGTTTTTCGTCACTTGGAAGTAGGGCAGGTGACATAATGCATTTCGAGGCAAAATTAATCTTCAGGAGGGTCTGGCCATATTAGGTCTTGTGCACCAAGACTTCCCCCTCCTGGTGTCATCAAGGTTTCATAGACATTTCACAAGCATGTGGAAGCCAGAAGCCTAGGTCTAGAAGGATTTATCTGGCAGCATGTAAGCAAGCAGCCATGATGAGAGAGAACCAGCCTTTCAGCAGGTGCACACAGAGCCAAGGATTCTCTATTCCCACTGCTTAGGTCTACCTGCTACCTATTAATGCTGGGAATTGAACCTGAGGCCTTACACATGCTAAGCATGCACTCTACCACTGAGCTATACTTCCAGCCTCACAGCAGCCATTACTGTCCCATTTTACAGATGAGGAAACCTGAGCTCAATGAGGTTGTCAGTGTCCGTATTACACAGCCAGGAAGTGGGTCCAGGATTTGGATCTGGGTAGTTCAACTGCAAGATCCCATGTTCCTCACCACATTGGTGCACATTTATATGCCTTATCAGTTTATAAAAAATTAAACCCTAAGAGAACTTTAAAAAGAAAAACCTCACTTAGTTTAAAAAGATTTTTTGAAGTTTACCAAGGATTTATGTTAGTATAATGGGATAAAGTAGGGAAAATAGGAATGGAGAGAGATATATTTCCTGCTCCCCACAGTGAAGAAAACTATAGAGTTCTTTTGGAAAAATTGAAAGTTTTTACACTTGCATGGCTTTGTGGATTTTGGAGAATGTCTCCTTATCCAATATTTGGAACAGTTGGGGGCTGCAGTTTGAGAAGTTGAATAAAATATTCTAGTGAGGTGGGGATGAAAGACCCTATTCTTTTAGTAAGGACCCAGATTCAAGTGGCCAGAGGAATTTTGATTATGAATCAGATAGGACTGTACCCCTGGTGCAATCTGTTTGCCTCTCTGTCTCTGTCCCACCATTGTTGCAGTGTTTCCCTCCCATTGATCAGCATCTAGTAGACAGGATTGCCATAGTTTGTAGTTGGTGATAAACAGAAAATCCAGATTCTTATATTCCAGGTAGATCCATCCAGGCAGGATATGTAGCCATAGTGAGGGTGAAAAAGCTTTATTAAAGTATAGGGAAAAAGTTACAAGAGGCCATAGTAGGTCAGGTATGAGCCAGAAGCACAGAGAGCTCTTCCTGTTACCATGTGCTTTTGAAACCTGTGCTGCATTTCCTATTTTCCCCACAGATTAGGTTAATAACTGACCCAGCTGAACATGCTTGAGCTTCTAGGTTTTCTTTCCCCCTCTTTGGTGACATTGGGAGGTGAACTCAGGGCTTCACACTTGCTAGCACTTTATCCAGGCTCCCAGTCCTTTTTGTTCTGGTTATTTTGGAGATAGGGTCTCTGTTTTTATACCCAGCCTGGACTGAGATCCTTCTATTTATGCTTCCCTGTGATCCTGGGATGATGGGCATGTGCCATTATTACCAGGTATTGGTCAAGATGGGGTTACGAGTCAACTGAGGCATGACCACCCAAGAAAGATTTTAAAGGAGAGTCTTTATTAGCCAGCTGGTGACTGCTCTGACCAACAGGTTGTTGAGTCTCAGAGAGCAGCCCTGTTCCAACTTTTAGCAGGGTTTATAAGGCAAAAATCCCTGGCAATCTTTGTGAAGCAAGCAAGCCTGGGTACAGAAGCAAGACAATGGCTATTTGCTAAGGTACAGAAATGAGACAATGGTTATTATCTATGAGTATGAATGAACACAATCAACACAATCCACACAATCATTTGACCATATCCTAGTTTGGTTCCTTCTGTTCTTTTAATTTTATGAGAACCAGACTCCCTCCTAAACCTCCCTCAGCAAGGAAATTAAAAACAGCACCTGATTAATAGCTCCCCTCTACCCCTGATGAATGGCTTTCTTCTAGCTAAGTTGTAAACCATTTCGGGGTCTCTATAACTTTTTGCCCTGGCTGTCCTCCAACCAGGATCCTCATCTCTGCCATAGCAGTAGTTAAGAGTACAAGCTTGAACCACTGCCCCAGCACAATGCATTTAAGTTAAAAGTTTTAAACTGTTTATCCCACAATGCACTGGATTGTGAGAGCAGGATTTAATAAAGAAGCAGGATTCCACATGACTATCACATGGGTAGGAACCAACCCTAAGCCATTTTATCTCGCTCTATTTGCAAGAAAACCTCCTGGGAAATGAAGTGTATCTTGTTTTGTGGGACCTGCGCAAAGGCTCGTGGGAAATGTAGTCTCACGCAGTCCATTCATCAGAGTGCAGCGCTTCCGGTTTTCTTCTGCGCAGGCGCTGCCCCACCCCGCCTTTCCCACAGAAGTTCCCGGACCTGAGGCTCTGAGGAAGCTGTGGCGGGGTCTTTCAGTTCTCCCACGGGGTCCCTGCGAGGTTGAGAAAGAAACCGTCTTCGGGGACCCTGAGGAGATGTTGCCAGAACCGCAGGTGTTCATCCCGCAGGTCCGTGACACAGGTGGCGGGCGGAGCCTCGCTGGGCTGGGAGGGACAGTCCCAGCGGCAGCTATGTGTGTGACTGCTGGACCGCGGGTCTGCAGTGTGATTGCGGCCAGGGAGGCGCACCTTGGAGCAAGGCCTTTTGTCACTTGGTCGTGTCACAGCTAGTGGCGTCCTCGTGGCCAGGGCGCGTGAGTGGCACAGCGCAGATCTTTGTCTTGCGAATACGTGGAGGAGCCTCCTTGGAACCGTCACGGGGGCGGTGTCCCCAAGTTCCAGGTTCATTTTTTAAGCAAAAATGCTGAGTTGCAGCATGCATGTCTCCCATGAAAAGAGGAGGAATTATAGTGGGAATGAGCTTCTGAAGTCCCATGGGGGAAGTAATTAGTTCGTTCTATACCCCAAGTGACTTTATTTTTTCTTTTTTGGCAGTACTGGGACTTGGACACAGGGCCTCGCAAGCGCTGCACACTGCCCCTCCAACCCCTATTGTTTGTAGTTAATTTTTCAGATAGTGTCTTTTTACTATAGCTTTTTGTTTGCTTGTCTAGCGGTAATGGGATTTGAACTCAAGGACTTTAAGCAAGCAGTTTTATCACTTGAGCCGTGCCCCAGCCCTCAAATAGGGTTTGCTTTTGCCTGGGGAAAGCCTTAGACCATGATCTTCCTCCTACCTCACCTTGTGTAGCGGGGATTGAAGACGTGCCACCACATTCATCCCCCAGGTAGCTCTTTAATTTTTTTAGTTGTTGTGCATGGGCCCAGATGCATTTTTTAGCAAGGACATCATGTTTGTTCTTTTTTTTTTTTTTTTGGTAGTAGTGCGGTTTGAGCTCTGCCTCAAGCTTGCTAGTCAGGAGCTCTTACCACTTGAGCCACCCTGCCAGATGGGGCACCACTTGTCTTGGAGATGGGATCTGGTGAACTACCCCTGCTGGCCTGGAGCTGTGATCAGTATTTATTGCTAAACCAGTTGACTATGTATAAGTAGCCCAACAATAATTTTTTTTTCCTGGGTATTGAGGTTTGAATCAGGCCTTCATGCTTGCTAGGCAGGCGATTTTACCACTTGAGCCAGTCACTCTCCCAGCCCCCCCCTTTTTTTTTTTTTTTGGTGGGATTTTTTTGAGATAATGTCTCTGGAACTATTTGCCCTGGGGCTGACTGAAAATTACCTGGGTTCTTGCATCCAGCAAAAGAATTCAAGTAAGAGGCAAAGATTCAGTGAAAGTAACAGTAAAGTTTATTAGGAAAGGATTACACTTTCAGCAGACTGAAAGCAGGTTTTCTCTAGAGTGAGAGCTAGGTGGTTGGGGGGAGAAAGAGGAGAGAGGGAGAGAGAGAAATTGGAGAGATTGATTTCCGGTTTCTCAAGCAGGGAATGGGAGCAAAACCTCAAAATGCTGGTCCCCATTTCTTAAGTCATTCTCCACCCATCCGATGGGATCCTTGTAGCTCCTTAGCATCTCAGAGGAAAGCAGAACCTGGTAGCTCCTCTTTATCTCCCTGTTCCTGTAACTTAGCTTCTAAAAGAACATGTGAGAGGGCTGGCTGTTGTGGCTTTGTGGCTCTCCTGGTTGCAGTAGCAGAGTCTGTCCTTTTCACTATTTATTGAAATAGTATAATTTCTCTGTCCCCTCTTGTGGCTACTCCTTATATCTAACTGCTACTTATCACTCCTGATCTCTATCACCTGAGTAGCTAGGATTATAGGTGTGACCCACCAGTGCCTGGCTCAATAATAAATTTTATGTTCAGTCTCTACCAACTAATGGACTTGTGGGTAAGTCTTCATTGGGTTCTTTATTACTCTTTCTTGTATAATGGACTATTTTCCTACAGACAGGACTTTTTTCATCTTTACTTCCAGCTAAAGTATAGAGTTTTGAGCAGGAGAATCAGAACCAAACAATGTTTGTTGACTCATGAGTCTGCTCTTATCTCAGCTACACCTCCAGAATGTGTTTCTAAGCAAATAAAAAATGAACCAATTTCCGGTGACTGGTTTATTTATTCTTCACCTTATTTTACATTGTATTTTATGAACTTAATGGAATTGTAGAAATGAGTAAAACAGCTTCAGGGTAATACACATAAATAAGAAAGACTTGACATGTAGACATAGGCAGCTTCTTTACATTTCTTTTTTGGTCAGTTCTGAGGTTTGAACTCAGGGCCACACACTTGCTAGGCAGGCACTCCAACACTTGAGTCATTTCAGCCATAGGCTGGTTTTAAGATGCTAAAAACATCTGTGTCAACACAGATGTACAATTTGTCTCTGTACTTTTTTGGTGGGGAATACAGTATTGAGGTTTGAACACCTTGTGCTTATTAGACATGCACTGTACACTTGAGCCATGTCTCCAGCCCTTTTCCCTTTTGTTGTTTTTCAGGCAGGGTCCTATGTTTTTACCTGGATCACCATAATCCTCCTACCTCCACCTCCTTTGTTGCTGGAATTATAGGTGTACTTCAACACATCCAGCTTGGTTTTTTAGATAAGGTCTTGCCTTGAGCCATAATCTTATCTCTGACTCCAGAGTATCTAGGATTACAAGTGTGTGCACCATGTCTGGCCCTATCTCTGATCTTTCTGATGCCATGACAAAGGGAAGACACATTTGTTACATGATTTGATTGTTACCTGAGCAGAGAGCATGCTAACTTCTCATGGAACATAAAGTTTTCACCAAAGGTTAACACATTACCTGGCTTCATAAATAGTGTTGTGAGTTTTTCATGACCAACTTGGAAATAGCCCTGCAATGGAAATGGTTATCTGGTGCTAATGTAATATACTCTTCATAAATTTTTCTGGAGTTGCTAAAATAGTATGGTCCCATGCAGCTCTTGGATGCACATATTTGATTGGTGGATAAGTCCTGGAATAATCTGGATGATTGAGTTGACCACAGGCTGTTCAGTGACTCTGTACCTGTCTGTCATCCCACCTGCACATGTGCAGACTGTTCAAAGCTAAATTTCCTGGCAATTCTCACTGCTCATTTGTCCTTTAGCCCGCTCAGTGTTGTCATAGTTCAGACATTCAGAAGCCCATTAATAACCTAAATTGTAGTCCACATCCAAAGCCATTTGGTAATTTTGAAGCTACTGCTTTGACATTCTTTGTTAGTCCCCATCACAGCCTGTCTCACGATGTCTTCCCTGTTGCCCTGAATTCTGCTTTCCTGCTCTTTAACATAACTCAACCAAGTGCTCCATTCTGGGGCCCATTCTTCTCACTCTGTGGTTCTAGGTGGATCTTGCTGTCTTTGGTTCACACTTCCTTAGATACAGCACCACAGCCATCTTGCCAGTGATCCAGCCCTCAAAAGTGGGATTTTTTTTTTTCCTGGGCTCCGCCCTCTCTGTCAGGTCTGAGCTTTCTGGTGTCAACTTGTGCAACTTTTGTTCAGTCTTTTCTTTTGTCCTACTGTTTGCATGCAGTGCAGCTAGGGAGAGGATGTGATCATGCTCGTGAATAAACATGGTAACTGCAGGTGTCATTCCTGGTAAAACCTGAAGAGTGTGTTTGCACAGAACAGTGCATACATACAGAAAATGTGGTGACATTCTTAGGAGTCCCCTAGAAGAGAGCATTATGGAGTTAGTGGGACACATTTGAGAAAAGGTCATTGAAAAAGTATGCAAAGAATAAGAACCAGAAATACAAATTTTCATAATTTATAACTTGCTTATATAAGTTTCTCAGTGACCATATTTGTGCTTTTTTTATTAAAATAGTTGTATGTAATTCAAAAGGATCTGTCATGTTTTCAAACTCTGTTAATGACTGCATTTAATTTCTCTGCTATTTTAGCTAACTATTTAAGAATGTATAACAAAAAATGGATGTTTGCACCAGCTATTTCTATGTTTATGGAGTATAACTGTACTTTATAGGTGATGAAGAATAAAAAAGAGATAGCTTCATAAGCTGAACATTTTAAATTCACAGCTGTATTTTGAAACAGACCATAATTGTGAAATATGCTTTACTATTCACTTATTTGGAGCCTAAAGTTAAATCTAACCCTCCACACTCCATGTTTCAATCTAAGGTACTTGCTAGTGACATTTAAGGTGTTTCAAATAGAAAACTTACTGGCTTAAATAAAATTCTCACTACCTATCACAATTTTTAGGGTCAGGGAACTAGACAGAGCAGTATGGCTTGTGTTGTATATGTTATGGTGTTTCATTTTGTCTCTGGTCTGCTTCAGGGCAGTATGGTCAGCTACACAATGTCTCTTGTCCCAGCTGGAGGGTCACTAGTGGCATGAAGTTTACCCTCTGGCTACAAATGACTCACATTTTGTCAAAATTCAGAATATACTTGTTTCAGTTCTTCCAGAATTCTTTTCTTGACAGTGGTCAGAAGCGCTATTAAATCAGGTCCTGGTTGTTATCAGGAATCTGGGGATCACATCAGGCTCTTATCTAAGGTCACAATCAAAGAATTGATCTGAGATAAGAGGAGTGCGCGGCAAAGCTTATTGAAAGTGGAAAGTGGAAGTGACGCCATCAAGGGAGAAACCGTGGGCTAGAGCCATGCAGCTCCAGAACACTGTAGTCTCGGGTCTCCTTGGCTTTTATGTGGTTTGAGCCAGTCTGGTGGCAGAAACCTGGGTGTTTGTTCAGGCAGGGTTAGGGTGATTATCAGATTTCATTGATAGCCAGATGCTATATAACTGTTTTCTGATTGCCCATGTTCCTTCCCATGAATTGCTCTGTTGTAATTGTATGCATGAGATGCCAACAATATTCCTGAAGCCTTAAGTGGGAAAAACACCTAAAAGTTTAGATAGGTGACAGGTGGGCTACAGTGCTCATGCCTTCAGAACTGGTTGGCATTGATTATAACCCCACTTTGGAGGATGCAGAGGACCATAACAACTGTAGTGCCAACTATGAAAGGGGACTTTTTTGGACTGGAGAGGTTTAGATATTATCTCTCCTACCAGTCTTCACATTGACTCTGTATGAGCTAACCCTTGCATTAC